CTGCTTTTTAACCCTCTGCTGATTCCTCTCATTCTTACACCTGCAATCTTCTTTTAGACCTAAGGACCTTCTCTTCCTGATGCGCTCTTCTATAATCTTCTCCCTGTAGTTTAGCCTGATTGGAGGGGATTGCCAGCTGTTCTGAAATTTGTTGCCAGTTCTGTTCTTATAAGGAAGGTCTTTCGTGTCGCGAGACGATTTCTCAAAACGGGTTTCTCGCATGATGAGGGGGCACTTGCACAAGACAAAAGTTGAGGTTCGCTTCGGATTACCTATTCCAGGAAGACCAGAAAGGAGAATACACCCAAAAAAGGCAACTCAAACTCCTCATAGAATTGTATAGTGCTTGTAGCATTCAATACTCGTGGTTTGACCCTTTCAAGGCCAAATATCCCTAATATCCTTATAAGTTTATAAAGCATACCCTTTGAGGTGGAAACAACCCAACTGATTTCCATTTGTTGGAGCAAGTTCTTTTTACTCTTCAGTCAAGCTCTTCCCTAATCCTTGGCTTCGAATTTCTGATTCTCGGCTCTCTTTACAGTACTCTGCTAGCTGCTTCAGGTCTAGCTCTTCTTCCCTGGTTATTCACGAAAAATAAAAGTGAGTGCACTAGTTGCCCTTCAGTGCCATACTCTACGAATTGGCCCCCTTTTGAGTGAAAATGTTCCCCGGAGGTGGAGTTGGCTGGAAATTCCTCCATTGACCCTCTAAAGGCCGTGTATCACATGCGCTTAACTTGAAACTGCCCGACGCTCGTGCCAAAACACTTGATCAACTGCGCTGAAAACACGATCCAAGGAGTAGCCTGGCAGGTCCTGAAGACTCATATTATATTTGCTTGGCGAGGAAAAGTTTGGTACATGGGCTACAAGCACGTGCGCCAAAACTGGCCTCTGTGGCGCGGGCACCAGGTGTTAACGTTCCAAGCGGATGCGAGAATCTCGTTCAGCGGGTTATAGTACTGCCTGGAGCGGAATCCTAAGCAAATCTATAGCTAGGGAAAGTTCTCGATCAAGATATAGCCTGGATTTGGAAGAGTGGGGAGGTAAAGGGTGAATAGTGCCTATAAGGAATTTTTAATCCCAGATTCTTTTACCGATGTCCATTTTC